TATTTGAACTCTTAGACCATCACCATTTCAAGGCCAACTTCATGTGGCACATGGTTATGTAAGTTTCTACTACAAATTTAAAGAAATAATAGACTAGAGAAATTCACCCCTTACCCGCTAGGCTGTACTTTGTCTTAGAGTCAGATATTCTAGTTTCTCTGAAGTTGTGAATTTCTCCTATAAGTAGGATGGAAAACCCCTCTCAAAAGTTTGGCTATTAAAAATGAGATCCTTTCCAGAGGACATGTCTTCATTGAGCCAGGAAACAAGCTGGTAAGTAACTGGGCAAATGTCAGAGTCCACATGAAGAAAAAAATTGAAGCATTTTTCTTAAATTTTAGACTGTCATTTAAATGGCCTAGAATAATTTTAAAGAAAGACAGATTACTCTTATAATGTTTATAGAAAATTCTAAGATTAGAATTGGAAGGGATTACTATTTCATGTAAGCTCACAAAGAGAGATGACTAGCGCAAAGAGACTAGACATTCTCTTTATTCTTTTTTGGTTTTGTTTTTGTTCTTATTTCACTGAAGAAATACTATTAGATTTCAGGTTCACAAACCAGGTCTGAAATCACGAATTTTTCCTTTTCCTCTGACTGTAACAAAATTGCCTCCAGAGCTCTGTAATGTTTGGTGTTAATTATGTGCTGCAATGCAGTACATACTCTGAAAAGCAATATCGCCTTTGTCATTTGTGACTGATTACCCAATTCTGCCTGTGCTTGAAAGAAGTTATTTCCTGAAATTTGCTTTGTAATTCAGTTCATGTGCCTGCTCATTAGTTTCTTTCAAGCTGCGTTATTTTGCATACTTTATCACACAGACAACAGAAATGTAATGCCAGCAAATGTGTTCACTGAAATATACTTGGTCAGCCCTGCAGTATTCACACAGAGCGCAATACAGTCTCTGCCTCTTAAGAACAAGCTTCTCCCTGGCAACAGCGGTTGTGAAGTAGTGCACACTGTATCCTGAGTCCCATTCAACGAGCAAAGCATACTTTGTTTTAGCCTCAGAATTAATAAGTTTTTGGTCACTCCTTCAACAGACATCAGTCTGCCACCACCGCACCCCAGTGTACACATCTTCCTTGAGCACCTCCAGTGAGTTTAGTGAGGTGATTTTTCAAGCATAGCTATCAATAGTAACTGATACCCTCTCTGTAAGTAATTGTGCATGTGTTTTACCTCTGCACTGAGCCTCCACCTTTTGTACATTAATCATTTCAGGTCTAGTGATTTTTTATACCTGTTTATTCTTTCAGGCGTATCTTAGTAAGAAAACCAGAGAGGCATTATTTGAACTAAGAGTTTAGTTTTCCCACCATGAAACTTAAAGATGAACTCTTTGAGATTATGTTACTACTACTGTTTATACTGCTTTAGTATAACGAGCTGAGGCTAAACAGCTGCTAGGCACTAAGACACAATGAATTTAGAGAACTGATCTGGGAATACCTGCACTATTGGAAACATTAAAAAATTAGTTCAGGATTTTTGTTAAGAAAACAGCAGGGACACAGAATACAACTAAGGAAAATAACTCTGTGATATCACAGAGGCCTCATCACAAGATAGGATGAGTTATTCTCTCTTGAAACATAATTTTCACTCCATTACAGGAGAGGGAATGGTGGCATCTAAGTGTAGGTTGTAGACACTTAATTTTAGGAAAATGAATCTACTTATGAAACCAAGAGCTAAAACCAGTCTCATAACTGAACTTCTTCGCTTCAGATTGGACAACAAAATTCTCGAGTAATGATCAAAATCTTCAGTTACCTCTATTCTGAAGCTTAGATTTAATAAACCAGTCAGCATTGCACAAATTGTTTTCTTCCACCTACTCTTCTTTAAATAATTAATATGTATTAAACAAAGAAAACTAAATAGAAAGATGTGACTTCTTACACAAAACCATCTGTACCCTTAGCAACTAGAGTTCAAAATTTAGCAATGTCTCACAGTACTGTCTACTCAGTAGTACACTCTACCACAGTGTCTTCTAGGTTGTTTTGTATTGCAAGTTATTTTGTTTGTTTATTCTGAGGTTTAATTATAAATGTCACCCCTAGTGTAGAAGACTGATACTGTATCTATCTGCAGTATTATTGTCTACTTAACTATGCTACCAATCCCACCTATTTTAATAATGTTCTCCATAGCTACTGTGAGGGAGATTCTCATACAAATGTTCTATGCAAATGAGTGAGGTACCCAAAACATACAAGGAACTTCAACATGTGGATGGTTAGTGTTAACTGTTAGGGCACAGGTTACTCAAAAATTTGCAGAATTTCTGCAAATTTTGAATCAACACAGTACCTGTGATCAAATCTTGACATTGAACAAGAAGCTCAGGGTGCTTACTTGTTCTGTTTCCACTGACATGGTTACTGTGTGGTCTGCAACAATGAACAGCCAAAACCAAACTTCACAGTTATTCTAATTAGACTTGTTCCTTATTAAGTCTGGGGACTCATGAACTCAACATTGGTCTGCAGCCTACAATTGTGAAAGAAAGAACTGCTGACATGCTGTTTGTGATTGACTAGATATAGACTGAATAGGAATTCTGCACACATAAAAAAGCACATTATACTAAGAATGTTATATACAGATTTTACAGTACTGATTTGTCTTTCAACACAAATCCTATCCACAAGCAAAGTATTCTGAGTTCCACCTCAGCCTAATGTACTTGCCTTTTATATCTGTCAGAAATTAACTGTTGCACACAATAATTCAATGCAATAATTATTTTCTTGACCATCAATAACTTTCAACTCAAAAGATCATAAATATCCTCATTTATTGAGGATTACTGAAGGCATTTAAATGTTTTACATGCTGCAGAATATGCAAATGTATTTGTGAAGCTATGTTTACCATTCATGTATTTTATCAGTTTGGGTAGGTTGCTATGTGGCGGTGTAATAACAGTTTTTTTCTCCCATACACCTGATTGTTTGGTTATACCAGTAGTAATCTAGTTACTATCATACCTTGATTCCATAATAATGGCACACAGACAAATTAATACCTAGCCTGTAATAGTTCCACAGCTACAGATCCTAATAGTTGTTGTGAATATTTAATTCTAGTTCCATAAATCCAGAAAACTGTAACAAGATGAAATCTCTGTATAAAAATCACCTGTTCTTGCTTCTGCATGGCCCATGTGGAAAAAATGCTTTTACTTAACAGCAGCACCCAAGAGAACTGTAAAAACTCAGATCATGTTCTCAATAGACAGAAGTTGCAGATTACCAAGAGCTACATGTCAAACATTTTTGAAAACTAGTAGATATAAGAACCTTATAAATGAGCTATGAATATGCATTGACCTCTACTCTCAGGTATTTTTCATTCTAAAGTGAATGAAGATAATATAAAAGTCTTATTCATGTCTTAAAGCACATATTTTGGAGACTATCACTAGAATTCCATGGAGCTAATGTATCTATGTCTACAGACATTTTCTATATGCAAATTTTAAGGACATCATTTTGATTTTGGCTAAACAATATATGGTTTAGTAACACTCCTATCTGTAAATAATGTTTTAGTTCTGTTCTTTCAGACAGATCATAGAAGTCACAGAAAGTTTCAGGTTGAAAATTAGTTCAGTGGGTTCCTGGCCCAATTTCCTGCTCATAGCAACATCAGGTTTGAGGTCAGACCAGGTTGCTCAGGGCTTCATCCAACTGCATATTGACATCTCCAAGGACAGAATCTCAGTCAAAAACTAGTAAAATTTGTTTTGATGCTTGATGCCCTTGAGGAGAAAAAGTTTTCCCTTATATTTTAAATAAAATTTACCTGTTTCAGCTTGTGACCACTGCCTATCATCCTCCCATCATGTACCACTGAAAAGAGCCTGAGTTTGTCTCTGATGAACTCCTTACTGAGAGGTACTGAGAGGCTGCTGTTAAGTTCATCCTGAAGCCACCTCTTCTTCAGTATAAGCAAGTCCCAGTCCCTCAGCCTCTTCTCCCAGGAATACTTCTCCAACTCTGACCAATTCGAGGTCGCTCTGCCAAACCTGATTCAGCTTATCAATGCCTTTCCTGGGATGTGTGGGGATGGTATCTCACAGGTGCCAAGCAGAGGGGAAATATCCATCCACAGAATCACAGAATACTCTGAGTTAGAAAGGACCGACAGGGATCATCCAGCCCAACTCTTAAGTGAATGGCCTGCACAGGGATCAAACCTGTGACCTTGGTGTTATTAGCACCATGCTTTGACCAAATGAGTTAATTTCAGTGTCCTGGCTATATCCCTGTGAATGCTATGCAGGATGCTGTTGTCCAGGGAAAACTGCTGACTTCTGTTGGCCAAGGTCCCCAGGTCCCTTCCAGAAGAGTTGCTCGTAGACAGACAGGTACCAGGAAGTGTCCTTGTAGGGGTTCCCTCCAGGGAAGAACTTTGCATTTGTCACCTGAAAACTTGATAATTGTTTCTTCTGTAATCTTCTCCAAGTCCCTGATAAATCCATTAAACAGAACAGATCGTTTTTGTACTCCACATGTCACCAGCATCTGTTGAGTGTCACCTCATTTACGAGTGCCCTCTGAGCACAATCATCTATCCTATCTTCTACCCCTCTTACTGTCCAGCTATTTAGACCCTACAGTGAAAACAGATTTAAAAAAGTAATTGTGGGAGATGGTGTTGAAAGACCAGCTAAAGTAAAGGTAAATAATAGCCCCTGCTCTCCTCTCCCCCATATAACTGCTTACAGAATCAGGGAATCACAGAATACGCTGAGTTGCAAGGGATCCACTAGGATCATCAAGTCCAACTCCTGGCCCTGCACAGGACCATCACCAGGAGTCACACCATGTGCCTGAGAGTATTGATGCCTTAAGGTCCATCCGGATTTTGATTTTTCTAATTTTTATAAGCTTTATTGCCATGGTCCGAGGGGAAAGGGAATGGGATGCGGCACTGCAATAAGGGTTCAGGCACAGGTGAAGGGTGAGGAAGCAATGCCACTTTATTGAGGGAGAGCAGGGACTTAAATAGGGTAGGTCTGAGGGGAGGATTCTGAACTGGGGAGGAGCTTGAGACTGACAACTCAGGGAGAGTTAAGATTGGGAGATAGGGGAAAGGTGGGTGTAACTTTTGGGTATCTGGGGGAAAGGACCAATGGTAGCTCTCTCTGCACTGCGGCGAACACCAGCCAATCAGTGACAGAGGAGCGGGAAAGCAGGGGAGAACAAGGGAGTAAACAACTTTTGGCGGGAAAGTCTGAGGGAGAAAGGGGACTATTATGGAGATATATATTAAACTTCATATAAAGCTGACAATAAACAGGAATACAACAGTAGATCTACAGTAAAAACTGGGGAACAACTAGTCAATCCAGTAGAGTGTCCATCCAGTAAATCAATAGTCCATTTAGTTCCTGTATAATTCTCTCCAGGCTTTATATCGCTCCCAGTCCGATTTCTGTTTCTCCACACTTTATAAGTAATTATATAGTAGAAGTAGATTTAGAAGCAGCAGCCCTTATTCCCTTACCCTTAGCATAGTAACTACAACCCTCGTACCCTGATTCCCCATATGAATATCCACCGAATTCCAGTAGAAATGTTTAGTGTCTCTTTAAGATAGGCCTCTTCTATTTGGGGACATCTAATTCTGGCCTGAACCACAAAAGTGCAGTCAAGAACTGGGTGACCATGTACCCCTTGTACTCTGAAGAAGATGATGATTGATGAAAAGAGGGTCCCGGAAAGACCCTTGCCTCAATTCCCCAGGGGCGAGTCAAGGGTGGTCCAGGGCAAAAGCCAGTGGGTGGACAAAATCTGGGATTGGACAAGCAGTATTATAAATTGTACCATCTGTCCACGGGGGGGGGTGCCCACGTCTTGTAACCTTATGCCTCAGAGGCACAAATTAAAACCCTTTCCTTATCTCATCTCCAAAACTAAATTCCCTTGGAGTTTTTTTTCTCCCTGAATTTTCTTTTAGGTAACAGTATTGTCCAAACGTTTCTTGAACTCTGTCAAGCTTGGTGCTGTGACCACTTCCCTGGGGTGCCTGTTCCAGCACCCAAACACCCTCTGGGTCAAGAAGCTTTTTCTGATATCCAACCTAAACCTCCCCTGACACAACTTCGGGCCATTCCCTCTGGTCCTGTCACTGGTCACCACAGAGAAGAGATCAGTGCCTGTCCCCCCTTCCCCTCAGGAGGATGTTGAAGACTGTGATGGGGTCTCCCCTCAGTCTCCTCTTCTCCAGGCTGATTTTGAACCAAGTGACCTCAGCCACTCCTCATATGGCTTCCCCTCAAGGTCCTTCACCATCTTCACTGCCCTCCTTTGCATGCTCTCATAACAGCTTAGTGGTCCCCAAAACTACACACAATATTCAAGGTGAGGCCACACCAGTGCAGAGCAGAGCAGGACAATCCCCTCGCTCAACTGGCTGGTGATGCTTTGCCTGATGCCCTCCCAGGACATGGTTGGCCCTCTTGGCTGCCAGGGCATTGCTGACTCATATTCAACTTTTCTCTGCCACTGAAGCAAGGCACACATCACAATTTCTACAAAGTGATGAAACATTCATCCAATCTTCACTCTGGTGACAAATATGGTCAGTTTAATGTTCAGACAATGCTTGCAAAATCTGTGGTAAAGATTTGTAAATTTGTAAATTTACACCTCACCGTGCAATGAAGTAGATGATGACTTAAAATTTTAAAAAGTGTTTCACCTGTACCTTCATGGCCCAACAAGTCTGTGTGAGTTTTGTTGGTTGATTTGTTTTATTGTTTTGTTCAGGTTTAGAGTTTTTCTGGCATTTCTTGTATCGGGAAAGACACAGGCATTGTGTTAGGCTAACACAAAAGCTTCAAGTCTCATCAGGTTTTGTCCAGACTTCTCTGTCCATCAGAAGACTTATTTTAGGCTTTAACAGCAGTCATCTGATGACCAACTACTGTTATTTTGCTTTAGCTTTTGTCTAGATTTGTACAATCAGGCCTATTTGTTGTCAGGAGCTGTGAAGAACAGCTCTCTATGATGCTGATAAAATGCAATATGGAAGATAACCAGTATGAGGTGTCAGCAGCGGATGTGAATTTTCAGGCATGAAGTGCCTTCAGGGTTTTAAACTATTCAGCAGGAGCTAATCAATGGTGAAAGAAGGCACTCTTGGAAGATTTGTAGCATCAGTTTCACATAAAAAACACGTCACAGATGGTAAATTTAGGTACAATGTTGACTTGCCCACCAATGAAGAAAGACCAAGGTACATTGTGTTAGCAGAAATAAAAATGCCCTCAAATATATCCTACAGTGAGAAGGAGAAACCATCAACAGCATCATCATACTCCTCTCACAAAGGACTTAGGATGCTAAGTAAGCTGCCCCAGACTAAAGGGTCTCACTTGAGTGAAATGAGCATGACAACAGAAAAAGAAAATTCAGTAGAAAGTTCATGTACATCTCTTTTTAACTTTACATAATTTGACCTCGAAGTGCTATTATCACTGTAACCAAACTAATACTATTTTTTTTATTATACAGATAAGACTTTAATTCTAACAATAAATTATTGGGTTTGCATTGGTACAATGCAATGTTTAAAAGATTTTGAGTATAAAAAGCTGAGAATTCAAACAATCTATTCTATAACTTGAATGGAATTAATTGACAACACTTGTTTTTGTTGTTTTTTTTTTTTTTTATTTTCATCTTGGTGGTTTTTTGGGCTGGTGGGCGTTTTTAATTTCTTTTGTTCTTTTTTTTTTCCTTTTTTTTTTTTCCTTTGGCTTGGTTTTTTTTCCAAAAAAACCTATCCTTTCCAGCAGGATGTTTTCCTTTTTAACTGACAAAATTGAACACACATCTGTTCTGTAATAACATAGGTTTTCCATTCAAATGCAAGACAAAAGGGGACAAACAAAAGTCCTGTTTTTCTCAGTGACAAGGAAACAGAACGCTACATTTTTTTATAGTTGTAAGTAGGATGTTGACCAGTTGGAGAAAAAAAAGTTAAATACATTCTTTCTTTAGTCCTTTAGACGACTACACTTTTTTTTTTTCTCCTCATTTTAATCTAGAGTACATCTGCTGCTTAAGAATTAGATTCAAAATAAATTTGCAGCATATCCAAAATCCAAGCAGTAATGATAAACCAAATTATCCAAAGCCTTGTGGAAGATATACTGAGCTCTGAGAAAGAGGACTGTTGACTGCTTTGTGCAACTCATTAAATAATACAACCCATTCCAATTTAGACTCTGTAGGCAAGATGATAAGAAACAGCAGCTCTTGTAGTTTTCATTTATGCTGGGTATCAGAGGAATGTGCAGGCTAATGTTAATGGAGGATAACTGTCCTGGACAACCAATTAGAGCTATAGATTCTAATCACCAAGCAAAGTAGTTGAATGTGAAGCTATTTGTACTAATGCTGAAGCGTCTTTCATTAGACAGACACAACCCCGTTAAACCACAATATTTTTTGCTTTTGTCCAAATCTTTTCTGCAGCACTGGCTACAGTTTCACCAGTCAAAGGGGAATAGCTACTGAGCTGCTGCCAAATTCATAATCCATTGATATAGAAAAATAAATCTATAATCTGTTCATCAATATGTAACTGCATAATTTGTTTTTAATTGGTTTAGAAATGTGATTAAAATTATATTTCATGAAGGATACTTAAAGATATATTTCAGAATATGCCTGCTTTTCTTATGCTTTAATTTGTTCTACATGTCCTTGTCAAAAAGAAATTAATTTTCTCCAGAGTGTGTGCATATGCGCATTTCAGTTAGTGATAAATCAAAGTGGTATCTTCAAGAATAGATAAAAGTTACTCAGATACCAACCATTCATCAGAACAACTTGAAACAGCTTAACCAAATTATTCCCTTTACTGTCATATATATTTATAACTAGACACATATAAATAGCAAATCCAGCATCCTAGGTTAAAACAACTTTTAATGATACCAAGCACTGCAATTCCTTTGAAGACTAGTATTATAAATAATTGTAACATTGTATTTTCATTGTAATTTAGACACATGAACCCCATAGAATGAGTACCTTTGTCTAAGTTTTACACGTGTGAATCCAGTAACACAGAGCTTTTATGTAAGTTTTAGTGGGACAATATATTCTTCCATATTCTTTACAAAAATAAGAGATTTTTTACAATCACCCAGGCTGGTGTATTTTTTCCCACGTTCTCTTTCATTCAGATTTTTATACTGCTCTGTAAAGACACCTTTTCATGAAGGCTCCTTCTAGTTTCTTCCTTTTTTTTCTGGATTTTCCTTGACTGGATTAAAAACTCACTGGATTGCCTAGCATAGAGAGTGGTGGTGAATGGAGTTACACCCAGTTGGTGGCCAGTTTCCAACGGTGTTCTGCAGGGCTCAGTATTGAGGCCAATCCTGTTTAATACCTTTATTGATGATCTGGGTGAAGGAATCAAGTGCACCCTCAGTAAGTTTGCGGATAACACCAAGTTGAACAGAACTGTTGATCTGCTGGGGGGTAGGAAAATTCTGCAAAGGGATCTCGATAGTCTATATTGATGGGCCGAGGCCAGTTGTATGAAATTCAATAAGGCAAAGTGCTGGGTCCTGCACTTGGGTCACAACAACCCCAAGCAGTGATACAGGTGGATTGGCTGGAAAGCAGTCCAGCAGAAAAGGACCTGGGGGTGTTGGTTGACAGTCATATGAACATGAGCCAGCAGTGTGTCCAGGTGGCCAAGAAGGCCAATGGCATCCTGGCCTGTATCAGGAACAGTGTGGCCAGCAGAACTAGGACAGTGATTTTCCGTCTGTACTCAACACTGGTGAGGCCACTCCTTGAGTACTGTGTCTGGTTCTGGGGCCCTCCCTACAAGAAAGACATTGACGTGCAGAAGAGTGTCCAGAGAAGAGCACTGAAGCTGGTGAAAAGTCTAGAGAGTAAGTCATATGAAGAGCAGCTGAGGGAGCTAGGTTTGTTTAGCCTGGAAAAAAAGGAGGCTCAGGGGGCCTTACCGCTCTCTACAACTACCTGAAAGGAGGTTGTAGCCAAGTGGAGGTCGGCCTCTTCTCCCAGACAGTTAGTAGCA